AACACAGAGTGGTATGTGTGAGACTGTGCAATGCACAGGTGGTACCCCAGAAAGGCAGTGGGACCCTGATCCGTGCCAACAGCTCATAAGAGTCACAAGGGTATGTGGGAAATATTCTCCCCAACCAGGTGATGGGTGACCTTATGTCCTACTTTCTTAAAAAGATGGTCCTACTTCTAGTTTCTCAAATCTGACAAGCCCTTTCCTTCCTTTTGGCAAATATTCTCCCCAACCAGGTGATGGGTGACCTTATGTCCTACTTTCTTAAAAGATGGTCCTACTTCTAGTTTCTCAAATCTGACAAGCCCTTACCTTCCTTTTGGCGTCTTTAAATATCCTCATCCTTCCACATGGAAAACCACAGGTGTCCTTCCTTGCCTCCACTTCCCCTGCTTAATGTTTGCTCATCCTCAGATCTTGGTCTGTGGGTCACATCCTCAGTAGACCTCGCCAGACTAGCCCAGGCCACTCTGCTGAGGCAGCTCCCAGACCCCCACACTTCTGCTCCAGGGTGCTCATCACAGCTAAAACTCATTGCTAAACTGTCATTACATAGCATCTATCTTGTCCCTTGGGACTATAAACTCTGAGTGGCAGAGACTCTTATGCTGTTTAGCCTCTCACCCCAGGCCTGACACACAATATGTGTGCCATACGCATGTGTGTTGAAAAGAATGACATCGGTCCCAGGTAGGGAGACAGAACATTTGGATGCCAGGGACAGGAAATCTATTAATTTCTCTTTTGAGTCTTCCAGACCCATACCAACACATGGGGTGAAGTCAGTCCCAAGTGCCTTTTTCCCCCCTATAAAAGCCAGCTTGTCCCCTGCCTGCCTTTCTGTTAACAGGTTGTGAGTGTGAGTTCATTAAAATAGCAATAGCATACTTGAGGTGTGTATTAGTCACTTTTCTGTTGCTGTGATAGATATACCATGACCAAGGGAACTTATAAAAGGAAGAGTTTATTTAGCTTATAGTTAGTTCCAAAGGAGCAGAGTCAATCCATCATGGCAGGGAGGTATGGCAGCACAGGTGGCTGGAAGAGGAGGAGCTAAGCTCTCACATCTTCAAGCAGGCACAGGAAGCAGAGAGCAACTGAAGATTCAGCAAGGCTTAAGAACTTTTTAAGCCCAGCCCCAGTGACATGCTTCCTCCAGTGTAGCCTCACCTTCTAAGACCTCGCAAAACAGCGCCACCAACTGGGGACAAAATGTCTAAGTACTTGGAACCTGTGGGGAACATTCTCATTCACAGCAGCACAAGGTCCTTGATGACAAACTCTCTCATTAAGTTATTGTTTGAGTGGGGATCTTGTTCACACCTTGGTAGTAAGCAAAGCCCTGAGTGACTTGGTGCTAACAGGTGCTTGGATAAGACCCTGTCTTGCCCTTGCTTCCCATACCTCCTAGCTTTTTGCTTATTCCATCAAATGCGAAACAGCTTGGGCAGGCATCACCATTTCCTTACACACTGCTACATCAGTGAACCTGAGAAGCAAATGTCTAGCATGATTAGACGTCTTTGGTTGATGACCCACCTAACGAAATGCTGAGCCACAAAGAAATCAAGTGGTATCATGTGTAGACTTCACTCTTTGGTCTCTTTGATAGTCAATGGCTCAAATGCAGGTGTTGTGGTTTATTTTAGATGCTAATAAAAATAACGCCCCATGGAACTGTTCCCTGGGGTTGGACAGAATAATAAAACCCATATAATAGCACAACATGGCCATCTCAAACTAGGAAAAGCTTTAACACATTTTATGGACCGGTATCCATAGATTGTATAAAGAGATTTGGGCTTCTGATTCATCATCATGTTAACTGTGCCTTTGTGACCCTGCTTTATAAATTCATAGTACTTAGTGCTTTACATGTTCTAGTAACAAACATTTTCTGAGTTTATATAAAATGTTACGAAGGGCCAGTGAGATGGCTTAACAAATAAAGTACCCACTGCCAAATCTGAGGGCTTGAGTTTAATCCCTGGGATCCACGTGGTGAAAGAAGAGAAATGACTCCTTCAGATTCCCCTCTGATTTCCATACGTGTACACTGTGGTATGCCTATGAAGGCACCCTTCACACACACACACACAGACACACACACACACACACAGAGCCGTGTTTAAGCTTACAATTCTGGACTATTGAATTGCTATGTGGGAAGAAGAATGGAGAAGGATCCAGAACCCCACTCAAGCACTGGAGTGGGATGTAAGAGGAACAGGATGAGGACAATTCTGTTGTGACACCCTTGGTAGTAGTATTATGAAACCATCATCATGGTCAATGAGGTAAACAGTAAGGAAGCCAGGGCTTAGGGAGATAAAGTGATTTTCCCCATGAGGGGCTGCAGAGCCTTAGGCCAGGAATTCCTCCTCATGGGTATTCATTGGTCGGAGTGGGAGTAGATGCCCGGTGCCTTGCTGTGTCCCAGGTGCCCCTACTGCAGCTGGATGGGGTTGGGTGCTGCCCATAGCCCACAGCCTCCCACTTTCACCAGCATCTCCCAGACCACCCCTTCCCATTTTGATTGCTGCTCACCATGGCTAAGCAGATGTTTGTATGTATTCCTGGCTTTTATGTTAGAGAGCAGGCAGCCCAACTCTGTCCACCTTCCTTTAGATCTGAAGCAGTGGCAATTACTCACTTTCCTCCTGTGACCAGTTAGAATCATTTGTTTCTGAGCGATGTTTCAATACGTGGCCTCAAGGCTGCTGCAGAGGTTGCATTCCTGGAACACTTGTAGAAGGACTTTTCACAGTCAGGTGCTTGTTCCACATCCCAGTGTTACCGATGGGGTGACAGAGGACCACAGTGGGAAAGAGCTCACTTAGAGATACACAGAACAGCAGCCAGATCTAACTCTTGAGAAAAGGACCGTGCATCGAACTCCCTCAACAAACCTAATTCTGCTATGAGGAACAAGGTGTTGGATGAGTGTTCAGGGGTCACCAGCCAACAAGACAGACACAGCTCCTGTCCCCATAGAGTTCTGACTCCAGTGTTAACCATCCATAGTTGCAAAGTTTGCCATTATTTGCCACTTGGATTGCACAGGAGTGTAGAGAGGTCATTGAAGTATGTACTTGGGAGACTTGGTCTAGTGTAGAGGTCAGGTGAGGCTTTTTTGCACAAGGATATTAAGTTAAATACTAAAATATAAAAAGAATTGAAGAGGAAGGGGTGAGGAGGAGGGGCTCCTTCTGAGCCCAGGATAGAAATAGTATGTATGAGCTCTGAAAGTTCAGAAAGTGTTCGAGGAACAGCAGAAAGATTGTGAGTGAGGATGAAATGGCTGGACTAGGTAGCAGCTCACCCTTGATTGACATGGGGGCTTCTTGGTTCTTGGGAGCAGAACAAATCCATCTCTTTGTACCTGAAGGCACATCACCCACTATTGTATCTGGACTCTGGTTCCTTGGCATTCATGCTGTGGTCACGGAAATGTCTAGAATATAAGCACTTTTATTTACATATTTTTTCTGTTTTACTGTTATAGATTAAGAAAATATGCATTAAATTGCCAAATTTAACTTAAAACTGTGTTATAGAAAATTCTGTTTTCCCATTAGTCTACTAGAAATATTGAAAGTGGGAGCAATTGGTTCTATAAAGGATAGTGAAATGCAATAGTTTTATGTCATCTTTAAAAATTATTCTGATAGCTCTAAATAGAGCTTGGATACTTCTAACAAGATCAACAGAGACTGTTAGGCATGACATAGCTATATACTAAGCAGTTTGTGTTCTAGAAAGATACATGTCTTTGACAGACATTTAATATTACCTCACAGAAAGCAAAAGGCAATTAGTTTATCACTTAAGCTGAGACTATTAAATGGTTTCTGGCTTCCTAGAATGTGTTGGAACTTTCCCCTCAAGCACTGATCAATAGAGAACACTGTTGTCCCTCACCTGAACCCAGGTTAACAGCCTTCATTCCACATGCCTGCTGCATTTTGAAGGCCCAGACCTCAGAAAGTCACATGGTTATCTTGCCTGGAATGAACCTGATAGGGTTTGGCACAGGCCCCTGGAGCAGCATAGTCTACAGACTCAGTGTAGCAGGGTTCACGTCCTAGGTGTCCTGCTCAGCTCTAACTGTCTACTTGGTACAGTATAGAGTCATCTCTTTGGTAGGGGGCTACCCTTTGGTGAAGGGTCCTGTCTTGCCTTCAGGTCAGCTCTCCTGCCTCATCTGCCCCCCCCCCAGCTTGGAGAGATCTGCAGCTCATTGGGTGGGGGGTAAGTCGGGGGTGGGGAGATCAGGTACTTTCCTACAGAGTTCTGCAGAGTTCAACACGTCTCACCAACTGTCAAATGTTTTATTCACGTGTGTCTCCAAGGGTTCATTTTATCCCTCAGAAACCCCTTACTGCGAGGAAGCAGAGACCAGAACACCCGCTGGGTTTTTGTGGCTCACCAGCAAGATTGCATGACTCCAGTGAGACTTGCCTAAGAAAAAAGGAATTTTGGCACCTGAGAGTACTCAGATGCTAGAGAGATGGCTGCAATTCTTCCTTGAGTTTAGAGATGGTCTGAAAAATCTAGACATCGGTCTGAGCTCATACAGTGTTCAGGTGTGAGTTAAATAAAGAGAAGACAGAGGCAAGCCCTTGACTTTTAAATGATTTAGTTGTATATGTGAGTGCACACACATGCCATGATATATATGTGGAGTCTGTCCTGTCCTTGCACTTTTATGTGTTCTGGGGATCGAACTCAGGTCGTCAGGCTTCTTGAGAAGGGCTTTTACATGTTAAGCCATCTTACCAACCCAAGTCCTTGATTTTTAACATTGAAGTGCGAGAGACGATGGCAGCTTGCAGAAGCCACCACGAGTCTCACCTCCAGTGTGCTTTCTAGTCTTTGGTCTTATATGTGATCCAGGAAGCAATCCAGCTCCTGGGGCAAGTGGGAAAAGGGCCTTCTGGAAATGTGAGCGGCCACGTGAAGGAAAAGTAACCATTTCCCGCTTCATCTCTCCTGCCTAGATTCTTTTGTCGGTGGAGTGATCGGCCTCATTTTTGCCTATATTTGCTACAGACAGCATTACCCACCTCTGGCTAACACGGCATGTCATAAACCATACGTCAGTCTCCGAGTTCCCACCACGCTGAAGAAGGAGGAGAGGCCTACAGCCGACAGTGCGCCCAGCTTGCCTCTGGAGGGGATCACCGAGGGCCCTGTATGATGGGTGTCCAGGGAGGATGGACGCTGAGCTCCCAACATGTTCTCACACCCTGATGTCATAACACAGTGGAAATGATTTTCTATATTGTGGTCCTCATCGGTTATTTCTGAAAAGTCTCCTTTCTGCTTCCGTTCTGTCAACGGTGTTCCTGCTGGTCTCCACGTCTCCTTTATCTTCTTTGAATTTGCAAGGTTTGGATACCAGGACCGGACTCTGAGAGACCCACACACCCAGAAGGAGGATGCAAAGGTGGGGTGGGTGAGCTCGCTCAGCCTGTGATTCCTCCACCTGCAGTGTTTGCTGGAGTGCCTGCCCTTCTTTGTGTTCATGTTGTGAAATATAATAAAATCTCTCACCCAGAAGACTTGGTGTTGGCCATCACTGTGGCAAAAGTCATTAGGCACCATGATGGGTTTTGAAGTAAGGCCCAAAGCCAGCTCTGTTCCCGGGTTTCTTGGCTTTGGAAGAAAGCGGTCCTGTCTGAGCTGTCTGTCATCTTCTCTCAAGACATGTCAAGATAGCTTTGAAGCCTAGAGGTATGGTTACCGCCCCCAGGGCTTTGGGGGTCACTGACTTAGAAGGATTTGAGATTAATAACTTCAGGCATAGATTTCCATCAAGAAAAAAATGAAATCAAGAGGTGTGTAAGCCCTCCCATCCAGAACAGTCAGGGGGCTGAGGAAGCCATCTTACTTCTGCATTATAGTGTTTTATTTTCTTAACATTAATAGAGCCCAAAATTAAAAGATACAGAGCCACAACACACTTGCCTTTTGTGAACTAGTTTATGGCAATCCTTACAGCTCCCAAGGATCCTGCACAAACCAGACTGTGTGGCAAGGTCACTGCAGCTGTCTCAGCCATCCTGGGGACGGGATCCTTGCCACCTTCTAGGGTGGGAGACAGCTCCATGTGTACCTCTTACAGAGAATTCGCAAGGTTAGAGTGAGCAGTCCTATGCATGAGAAAGTTCCCTGGCTCACCTGGTGGGAATGGCTGGGGGAAGCACTGGAGGTAAGAACTAGCTTTGAGGTGAGTCCTCCCCCTCTGGGAGCTGCAATTTGCAGAGCTCTGCTCTAAGGGGTCTTTGGTGGTGGACAGTGTTGCTGCAGGTCAGCAGGAAGTGTCAGCATGGCAGGGCGCTGGGAGAAGGTGCAGGAAAGAAAGGGCACTCTCCCTGTTCAGTGCAGTTGACATTCCTCTGTTCAGGCCTCTGTTCAGCACTGTGCTCCTGGCCAACTTGTTTCTTTCAAAGCTGAAAGCATTCCTTTCACTCAGCTCTGTCTCTTCAGGTTGTGCGGCCCAGATGCTGTGCAAGGTGATGCGTCTTTGACGTTCAAGGAATACCATTTTGCAGCAGTTAGTGTGACAAACTACATTTTGAAAGACTCAATGGCTGTATGAATTGTCAGCTGAGCAGCTCTGGGCTGGGAAGTTCAGATAGAAACATCATACACAATTTCAATTACAGAGTTCTCGTGTACCACCTCATAGACCTGTTCACTGACCCCCAGTGTGGTCCTCCCCGGTTGCTGTCCTGCCAAGCTAGTTTTGGCATAGAACCAAGTGATTGTACTGTGGTGGTGCAAGGGAGGGGAAGGCCTGAACAAACTTCCAAACCAAGTTCAGATCATTGATTTCTAAAAATTACAGCAGCTACAGTCCCAGCAACTTTGAAATGAATGTGAGAACCAATGAGATGGCTCCGCGGATAAAGGTGTTTGTTTGCCTGACCTTACTCCCACAACTTTACTCCTCACAACACACAAGGTGGAACAAGAGAACTGACTCCTGTAAGTTGTCCTCTGACCTCCACATGCGCTCCATGGCATGCGTGCTCATAAAAAAAAATAGTGAAAGAAAGATGAAATGAATGTAAAATACTTAAAAATCATGGTAATTCATAAAAAAACAATTTTAAATCCAGAGCTAAGATTGAAAAGAAATTTTAAAATTAGTATTAAATTTTTAAAAATCTAGAATTTTCAAAAATAAAAGCACGGATTAAAAAATGCAAGAAAGGTGCCACTGTTCAAACACGGCACCCGTAAGCAGCTTAGATTCCAGTTTTCACCACGTTCGGCAGTAACAGGCTGAGCAAAAGGGAAAGAGTTTCACACCAGTCAAAGACCACTTAAAATTCTGGACCATGATGTGTACATTTATATAAATACTTAACATTTAAAAATAAATGGCCAGAAGGCTCTGTAAAGCAACAACAAAATGTTGTTAATGCTGATAATTAGACTGAAAGCCCTAAAATAGGCCATGTAAAAGCTTTGATTAGAATGTAATTAAAATTGCAAAGGACGTAATAGCATGCAGCTCCTGGTGGATCCTTAGGAGCTGTCATTAGCAGTCAAGTCAGCTCACAAAAGGCAGGTGCTTTTGTAGATCCATATGTTTCATTTCACACTCTATTAACTGAAGGGACTGTAACATCCTAATACACAAATAAGATGGCTGTGGAGAGGGACACTTGCCCCTCAGGCCCTAGTCTGTTCTAGAAGTGAGGGGCGACTAGTTCAGTGTCATTGGCCAGGGAGGCTCAGTATGTGGGTCAAAGCTCACCCTGGAATGGGTGATCTGTAAGACACACTCTGCTGAATAACCCTGCTCAGAGCTGCTGTTAGAGGCTGCAGTCATGCATCACATATCATGAGGGACTGAGAAGGTGACTGACCAGGGACATCTGGGAGCTGCAGAGACTGGAGCATTAAAGAGCACACATCCTAGGAGCATGGTGCTGACACCCTGGAGCTAAAGGTTAACTTTGCCAGGCAGGAGGCCAGGAGGGGCTGGAAAGACAGCTTAGTGGTTCAGAGGGCTGGCTGGTCTTGCAGAGGACCCAATTTCCAGCACCCACATGGCAGCTAACAACCGTCCTAACTCCAGTTCCAGAGGACCCGATGCCCTCTTCTGACCTCCACAGGCATTGCATGACACAGGTGCACTTACATACATGCAGGCAAAATGCTCATACACATAATAATAAAATATTTATATAAATAAATAAATGAAATCAGGAAGCTAGCCTGGATGAACCAGTCTTGGTCCTGGAAGTTGGAACAAGAGTTAGGTATCTTAATGTTAGGCAGCATTCTAGAAAAGATGAGCACACTCTCCTAATTCCAGAGAGCCTCAGGCTCTTCCCACTTCCTGCACTCTTGAGAGAGTGTTGCTCAGGACCTTGCCTAGGTCTTGTGAGCCATCCAGAGCCTGTCAGATCAGGAAAAATGCTGCTCTCAGAGAAAGTAAGAGTAACACCCTAGCACAGTGGTGCTGAGTGTTAGGAGGACGGAGGCTGAACTCGTAATTGTGTCTCTCCACTGCAGCCTCTTATCTTGCTTTGTTGTAGAAAGTTCGCCAGACTGACATAAACCACAGTGGCAAATACCCTGGGAACATCATTCCCCTGTGACAATCAATACCTACTTTGGCCACATGATGCCTGGCTTCCTTCAGTAGACACCCATCCTTCAAGGCAGTGCAAAGAAAGCCAGGCCAGGGTGAAATGGGGAAAATGGGCAAGGAAGGCCCTGGCAGTGCTGCTGAATAAACAGGCAAATGACTCCATCTTCATAAGCCTCAGCATCTGCTTCCGTAAAATGGGAATAACACCTCCCCCATGGGACTTAATGAACACTATTAAATCAAGAATGTAAAATTCTTGTCCGATAGTTATAGTTAATTGCAGGAATCTTGGGGTATTAAAGGCAGAGCTATAGAAAGAGCCCTGGCATAGAATGCCCTTGTCTTAATCCACAGACTGAATGGCTTGTTAACAGAAACTTGTTTCTTAGAGCTCTGGGGCTAGAAAGATCAGAGTCCAAAATCAAAGCATCTACAAGTCTGTAGACAGCTGAGGACTTGCTCCACGGTTCACGGGTCACCTGTGGCTGTCTTCCCTGCACCCTCACATGGTGGAAAGGACCACAGAACTCTCTAGAGTCTCTTTATTTCTCCATTGGTTATTCTTTGACTGTTTCACATGTGTACATAATGAATCTTAGTACTCACTCTCTACTGGGCCCATCAACACTTTATGGAAAAAGAGCTCAGGAGATCCTATCCCTTCCCTGAAGGATGAATGACAGTTAATGGAGCAGGGGAAATGCCACTAGTGTAACCACTGATAAGTTACCCATGCTTCAGTAAGTAACCTCCCCCATGCTCATGGTTATACATATCAACCCTATTCACACACACACCAGGAAGGTCGGAGGGGGACTTGTTAGGAAGAAGCGTTTCAAATGGAGAGGGAAATGGGATAAGACTGAGTCCTTTGTATAAGGATGCTAATCCCATTCATCAGGGCTCCACCCCCAGGATCTAATCAACCACTTAAAAGCTCCACTTCCTAATGCTATCATATTTGAGTTTAGGATTTCAACATATGAATTTGGGGGGACACAGACATTCAGTCGATAGCATCCCTGAAGAATAAAGAGTCACTCTGATCCAAGCCAGGACAGCTTCAGTGTGATGGTAATCCAGCCTTCCAGCCCTGTGTTATGACTCACCTCTGAGTGTTGCCACCGTGGCAGGTGGTCATCCTCTGGAGGAGCTCAGGTGGCCATCACAGTAGGTAGAATTCAATGCCTATCAATTCCACTGTTAGTTTTTATAAGAACTTAGGTCTCCAAGAGGCTCAGTATCAATCACAGTCACAGTGAGGCCTCTGGAAGGAGAAGCAGCAGGAACAGGCCCAGGAGAAACCTCCAGTGATGAAAAGGCTCATTAGAGCCACTGGATGCTGGAATTAATGGAAAGCAGCCCCCACCCCTCCAAATTAGAAAAATCCATGAAAGGCCCCAAAGACTTGTGAGCCTCTTAAGAATCTCAGAATGTTCCAGCTCCCGAGGAAACAACCTGATAGAAAGGACTTACAGATATATTCAGCCCACATCTAGCCTGCGGCACTCAGGTGTGGTCCTTATGGTCCCTCTAGGATCCCCTCAGAGGACGTGACGCTCCACCTAGTGCGTGAGGGGGGCTCCGCTGTGCTGAGGCTCAAATCTGGCTCATGCCTGTTGAGCAAGCTTTGGACCACTGGAGGACTCAGTGTCCTCATTCACTGAGTGGGGTTTGGGCGAAAATTAAATAAGGAAGTTATCTGTAGAAAGCTTTTTGAACAGGGATTGGTATACTGAAAGTGCTCAGTAGATAATATAAGCTATAGCTCAGCAGCACTTGTCACTGTGTCATGTAGCATGGGCCATTCTACAGGGTGCTTTGAGCCCTTCTCGTACCCTGATCATTTATTTTATTGGGGAATATATACATATATATATATGTATATGAAATTATGTATATATTTTTTTGAGACAGGGTCTCCCTGTAGTCCCAAATGGCCTGGAGC